AATGTGTGCTAAGGCCTAGTTGTGTGGAACAGAAAGGGGAGAAGGGGCCATGAAGGCCTGAAGCGGTCATTCCAAATAGGAATGTCAGGGTGGTGGTAGGCGAGGGGCGCTCATAAAAACTTCAGTACAATGCGTGCCAGCACAAATATATGTATATGTCTAAACTAAACCCACAGAGCCAAAGGTACTTGAAGCTGTGTACAGAAGGGTGAGCCTCAACTAGGCAGTCTGTACTTTTTCAAGTGCTACCCACCGCAACAGGCTGTCAAACGGATGGGTTCCCGAAGCTCACTTGATACACAAATAATAAGTGGGGAGTGCAAAAAACTGGCTCATTGAGGTCATTTTCGAGACGCGAAATCGAAAATTGGCAAGACAAAGGCTGGAGAGACAAGGCAATGATGGATAAGCCGTAGTATGCCTACACCAAGAATTCACACTGCACAACTATGATACGAATAATTTACGTGCGAACGAAGGAAGTCAAAGGGGCTATCGATAACATCATACCGGTAACCCTCATACGACCACAAATTGACTATGTGATGAGAACCAAAAAAGGAAGGGGGGAACAAAGCCAATGAGCACTAGTAGCGTTAAATCATCAGGTAGCTGAACAGTTCATACCTCGTGCGACTTGAACTTCGTATCGTCGAGTTTCTTGATTGCGTACTTCATGTCGTCCTGTCTGGTATACTCCACCACACCAGTGCCATCCTTGTACACATCCGCGTAACAGATATCGCCCGCCTCGCGCATATGATCCTGAACATTCTCTCGAATGTAACACAGCACAATTTCGCCCCTTCCTGCGCCCAATCTGTTCAATGCCAAAACACAAAAAAAATACTTTCAAATCCTGCCAGGAGCCTGTCATTGGCAGACCGGTGACCAGCACACGATAGCCACTTCGACGGGGTGGGCCACGCGGTGGCGGTGGTCGTCGGTCTCGGATTTCGCCGCGATCCGGGCCATACAGTGGACGGCCACCTGGTCCACGCGGGCCAACTCCTCGTGTCATTTCAACGCGAATTCGACAGCCGTCCAGCTCGTATCCATCGCGTCCACGAATTGCATCGCGCGCATCACTGCAAGAAAAAAACAACACATCGTCAACAGCTTTTTTTTTTTTGGAACTACACAGCATGAAGAGTGAGAGCTCAGAAGAGCTTCCCGGAGCCAGTGAGCAGAGGGGAAAAAGCAGCTGCAGTACCGTGGGTCATCGAATTCGATGAAAGCGAAAGGCGCTCCACGAGTGAGCTTCACATCGATGAAATTGATATGGCCATATTTGTAGAAGAGGTCCTCCAGATCGCGCTGTCTTATGTCGGGCGGCAGATTCCCGATGTAGACACGGCAATCACGTCGTCCAGCCATTCTCGGTGAACTCACTCTGAAACAATGAATCTGCCAAACTGACCAGGCTCATTTTATGCGAAGAGACAGCGAATAACGCGTTGCTCGCGTCGCGTCATCAGCAAACAGTACCACATTACATGCACAATGAGGTGGTGGAACTGTCTCGAAATCACCAATTTTAGCCGTAACGCAAAAAAAAAGAATTTGAAACAACCCCTTCAGAGGCACTGTTAAATTTATTTGTATGTGTGTGTGCGTATGTGTTTGTGTGTGTGCACATGTGTTTGTGTGTGTGCACCGTTTTATCGGATATATGGTCTGTTGCAGATATTCTGTTTGATGAGCAAATGCATCGCGCATCGCTATAACAAAATGCTGGCCGAACTTAGCCCACTTATACGGTGTTTTGCAATGATCCGCACTTCTTCCTCCTCCCCCTCCCCTCCGTCTTTTACCCCTTAACTTGAAGCCTATTACTGGCAATCCAACGCAAACTAGTTGTCGTACCCATCGCACCACCCTTTTCTGTCCACCGTCTCATTTCCTCCGTGCAACCAGCGGCGCATCACGAAACCTCGTT